ACTAGCTACCATAACAATTTGAATACCCTCTTAATTATACTTTTTGTAGGTCAATAGCCACAAGGTCAGGAGTGACTTTCTCTTTGGCTTTTCCTACTTTTACTGTATATTAGTAATTCTCCAACCTCATCATACATTTTTTTATAATGGGACAATGCCGAACCACATTCATTGTTTTTGTTTACATGTTTATTCCCCCATTGACTAGTCAGGAAATTATATAAATACAAACATCAAAAAGAGCTACAATTTATATCCCTGACATCTAGGTGGATGACCATTTCAAATATGGACTATGCGCTATACAACCTTTGTAATGGATCTCATATTCTACCAGCAGTCAGCACTGATCCAAGGTTGACAATTTATTTCACTGATTTATACCTGATTTATATTTCACTATTATACTGATTTATATCATTGATATAAATTGATATATCATTTATATCATTGATCCACTGATATGTTAGAAATAAGTGTTAAGTCCTATAAGACATAAAGTGCCAAGAACACAATTGACATTGTTAATCTCTATTGAGAATATTCTTATATTGAAAGCAAGTCATTCAGGTTTTCATAACTGTATTATCAATAGAAGACTTGATATCTATCATTGATCGATCAATGGAATACAGTTGTTCATCTCTAATCATGTACTTTTAAATAATGCATTGAATATTTTGTTTGGTTTTTTTTGTTTGTTTGTTTTGTAATTTGCTTTGTAGAAGAGGCTAACCTTGAACTCAGAGATCTGCCTGCCTCTGCCTCTAGAGGGCTGGGTTTAAAGGCATGTGCGGCCATACCCGTCAACATAAGGCATTGGATATTCTTAAGCAAATCATTCAAAATGAGATTTTGAATCTTTTTTTTTTTTTCTTAATCTTCATCAATACAATTCAAAACTGATTCAAAATCAGGGAACAGAGATGCTGATCATGAAGAATGCCCAGTCACAAAGTCCCCACTCTGGGGATTACTAAGGAGAGAAGGCAACAATTTAGAGACTTTCTCAGTAATGACCTTCACTTTTCACCTACCATGAACCATTAGGGCAGCCGTTTTTGGAACATATCTAATCTTATCACTTAAGAAGAGGAAAAAATTTAAACTTGCTCAGAATGTAGACATTGTCTGTAATTTACATTGTTAATGTCATCATTAGCAAAAATGCTTTTGGAAAGATGGCATAATGTAGTTCATAAATACTAATGTATTTCTTGGCTTTCTTCGTATTTTGAGAATTAGACAATGCTTTTCCCATTTTTTTTTTTTTTTTTTACTTATTGGTAAGACCGATTGCTTGATTTTCACATTGATATAATTATAGAAATAGCTGAGAAAAATAAATATATTATATAGCCCTGTAATTTCTCTACAGGAACACTATAGATGAAAGAATGGGTTATATTACTTCTTTAGTTTAATAATCGATAATAATAATTTTAGTATATATTATTCAAACAACCTTACAAAGTATTTCTTATTTCTGGCCTGTAGGGAATTGTTCTAACCTTAATTAACTATCCTCAGTGTTTCATAAATTGACAACTTCCATTACTTCTGTAGCTTTCACTGGTAGGAAGCTGCCATCTCTGATCCATGGTATGCTTTTCAGTCACACATTGAGTTCTGCTAAGCAAACCCCCCGAATTTGAAGAAAAAGTCCAAGCAATTACTTACAGTGGTCTGCCCAGAGCCAGCCATGATGTCAGCAGAGCTCTTGGTCTTGAAGACATCCTCAAGACAGAAAAGGCCCCAGGAATGCAAAGCAGAAGAGATAAAGGCAAAATTAAGATATTGCTCTAGACCTCGATCATGACCTTCACTTACTCAGCCATAGATAATCATTTATAAGAGGAGGATATCTATTTAATTAGCTCTTACATAAATAACGGTACAAGCTTAGCAATGATTCAGATATTCACATAGCTATGCTTTATACTGTAACTTTAATCATTTGCTAAAGAGCAGATATGTATAATCCCTATTTGACCTAAAAAGCATGTCCTGTTCATCTGTTCTTTTATAATTGGGCCACAGTTAATCTTATTTATCTTTATTTGTAGATGTATTGATTCTTGTACTTACCCAATTACAAGAACAGCAGGAAATGCAAACACATGAGGACCAAAGTCAACTCCACCTCTGTTGGTAACAACTGGATTTTATCAAGGACCTCAGAGTCACTCTTTGTAACTCATATGCCACAGGTGGTCATCATCAATCCAAAATTGGCCTTATATTTTCCATTTATTTCTACATTGTGAATATGTGTGTCCTTCAACAACCACCCTCCTTTTTATATATAAAAATAATCTAATATACTAATTCCATGCATGTTCAATGTTACAGTTGACCTAGCGCGAATACATTTTACACTTAGTAACACAGAGACTAACCTTCCACAAACTATCAGAACCATGACACAAACTCTGAGCAGATCCCACATTGTCTGAGGCAATTGATGGGCTCGAAGCCACTGAAGATGAATAGATCCCCTTAGGAGAGTTTATTTAAGGAACACAGAGAAAAGCAGAGGGCAAAACAATGACACCACTGCTTTCAACCTTAATGTCATTTTTCTTCTTCGTTGACTATTGGTGTTTCAGACACACAGTCATGTATGAATTAAATGCCACTGGTGGGCATCATCAAGCCAATATTTGGTCTCCTTTTCTCTAATTATTTCTACTTTGCCTATTAACTATTTAATTATAAACTGTAGGCTAGTAAAATCCGCCCCTGCAAAAACATTAAATCTAGCAGTCTAATTATGCCTAATCTACACATGGACTCTCTCTAATGTGTCCAGCACAGTAATAATACACACTAGTTAGCATACTTGCCTTACAAATGGACATGTTCATGTGGTCCCCTATCAAACATTGGTGTTCAGACGGTCATCACTAACTGTACTACACATTGTTTAAGTACTAAAACCAAGACAAGGAGATTCCTGTAACTCACCCTGGTCTTGCTTTGTTCTTCAGCAGGGTGCAAATGAAGCTCGTGACTCTTGGAAAATCCTCTAATTATATGGTCTGTCCTGAGTACAGAGAAGAGAAGTGGGGGAGGAGTAACATAGGGGAAAGGAGAGGAGAGGAGAGAGGGGGAGAGGGAAGGGGAGGGGAGGAGAAGAGTGGAGAAGAAGAAAAATGGAGGAGAGGAGAGGGGAGAAGAGGTGAGGGAAGGAGAGGAGAGGGTAAGAGAGATGAAGAAGAGGGGATGGGATGGGACAGGAGAAGAGAAAAAGGGGGAAAGGGAGGGGAGGAGAGGAGAGGAAGAGGGGAGGGGAAGATTGAGGTAGACAGGAAGAGGGGAGAGGAGGAAAGAACGGGAGAGGGAAGAAAAGGAGAGAGAAGGAGAGGAGGGGGAGGGGAGAAGAGAAGAGGAGATGGAAGGGGAGGGAAAAGAGGGAAAGGGAGAGGACGGGGGAGGGGAAGGGAGGGGAGAAAAAGGAAAGAGGAGGAGAGGGAAGGAGAGGGGAAGACAGGTGAGGAAGAGGGAGCAGGAGGAGAGGAAAAGGGGAGGAAAAAGGGAGGGGAGGAGAAGATAGGGGAGGGGAGGAGAGGGAAGGGGAAGAAAGAGGAGAAAAAGAGGGAAGGGGAAGAAGAGGGGAGGGAGGAGAGGGGAAGAGGGGAGGGAAGGAGAGGGAAGGGCAGGAAGAGAGGAAGGGTGGAGGGAAGGGGAGGGGAGGAAGAGGGGAGGGGAGGGGAGGAGGAAGCAGCATAGGGGAGCACACTGGAACTGCCCTCTGTCCCAGGCCCTATAAAGAGAAGCAAGCCAGTGCTGCTGGCATTGGACAAACATGTCGGTATATTTGAGAGCATCTGCTCTGAAGAGAGTGCACAAAGAAAATTTTGTTTAAAAAAAACCCCACATTTCTTGCTATATCTTCCATGATTATCTGTCATCTGAGCCATTCATGCAAACCATCACAATTTAAAAATATTTATACTAATGTCTTGTAAAATGAGTATCTTCAAACTTGCAGCTAACCAAGAAAATAGACATTATCTGGTATTGACACTATTTCCTCCACACACAAAAAACAGTTATATGCTACTTGATTTTCTTTTCATTCCACACTTTCAATGTACTATGGGGATTTTTTTTTTTTTTTTGCTTTGACTCATGTTTCTATCTGAATAATGTTTCAACTACTTGTCTTCATTGTTTTCTGTATTTATTGGGCATTCAAGAAATTAAAATAGCATTTAAGTAGATGAACACAGAAAGCAGATCTGCCGCAGAGTGGACCTGAGAGACAGGCACGTGTACATTACTCGGGATGCATACTACATGGGTCATCATCGCTCCAGCCTGGCTCAAATCACTTCCGTTACTTCCATGCTTGCTTTTATTGAATCATTAATAATGCATAAAAATGGAAACGCTACCATTTCCCCTAAACACTGAAACAGTCTAGAAGTCACTCCTTTATTAATAAGCAGTTCACCTCAACCTGTCTCCTTCGGTGAGAAGCCTAGGATTCTCAAATATGCCAACTCAATGTCTTATCTTATGTTAAGTCTGCATGTGGCCATTGATTAGGCTTGGCGTAATGCAACCATAGTGAAGACTTGTTCTGACGGAATATATTCATTTGTGTTTATGAACATGCATGCCAAGGACATGTGTATGAAGGGAAGAGCTTGAAATTTAGGAATTTGTTCTCTCTCTCAACCATGGGAGTACTGGGGAAGAGCAGTGGGTCAAAAGAGGTGGCAGCAAGTGCCTTCAAGCACCGGGACATCTCACTATCCCCATGTTAGATACTTTAAAATAATGAAGTAACTACCCTTCCACAGACCCCAGAAAAACAGGGACACTAACTGGTATTCACCTTCGGCCAAGCTCCATGCAGAAAGACAAATGTGCCGCTGGGGAGCAGGAAAAGACGTGGAAATCGCCTCGGGAGCATGCATTCTGTAGAGTACAGAGCAGAGCACAAGATAGAAATATGGCATGATCCCCCATGGACCTTTTCTTACTGTGTGTTGGACCTCAGAGTTCCAAACAGACATGGTCATCATCTCTTTCATACCTTGGAAACTCTCATCATTGGCTCAAGAAAGGCTTAGTCTCCCCTCCTTTTCATCAACACTGTTTACCACCTATGGCAGTAATTTTACCAGCAATGCATGGAAAATACAAACATTCAACAGGAGCACAGCTCTCTGATGCATTCACACGGGTGATCAGAGCAACATGTACACACGGGCTATTAACCATCCTCAGGCATCAGATATGCTCAGGACAGAAGCCCATTTCCTTTCCACCGACAATCTGACAGGAGACCTGTAGGGTCTGTTTCATGCTTAGTAACAATACAGCGCTGTTGACTAAAACATGACAAAGACACGTGGCTGTTACCCACACTCACCTTGATTCAGCCATGAAGTAAGGAGAATCCAGAAAGCAGCCCACAGAGGTCCACTGGGGAAAGCAACAGGACAAAACAGTTGGTAAAAGATTTTTGAAACCAGGTAAGAATTCTGGTTTCCAACTTTGATTTAGAGAGGAATCTAATCTTAACTAAATGAGGGCATATGTCCACAGACCCAGAACTTAAACCTTGGCTGTGAAGTGTACTGCTTGTATTGTCATAAATAGAAAAGGTAAAAGGAAGGAACTGCTCCATAAAACTGCTCTCAGGTACTCTCACCATGCATAGACACAGCTTAGAAATAATAATGAAGATATGCAAGTGTCCCTTGGACATAAATGTTTTTTTTTTTTTTGTAACTTGAACCAGGACCAGATGTGTTGGTTCATAAGAACTTTCGATTTTAATTTTTGAGGACTACTAACAGTTTGCCAAACGTGTGTTGTAAAATGATCCTGAGCTTAGGTTGACCTTTGACAACATTGTCATAGACATTCTAAGTAGGGGAAGGTAAGATGTGACTGTGACTTGAAATTCAGAAGAACCAAATGATAAATAATATTAATTAGAATATTAATGAAAAATGTAATACAGTTATAGACAATAAATTTGGTGTTTAGGATATTTGAATGTCTTCTTTTGAGAAATGTTGACATAGCAATATTGTCTATTTTATGTAAATGACCACTTTTTACACTACCGTTATTTTGTGATTTTTTATAGGTTCTGGGTGTAAACACTATGCCAGATATTATTTATCCAGAAAGAGGGCTAGTGGTATAGGATTATTTTCAATAGCAACCACAGCTATACCTTTCTTTGGGTTTAAGAAGTTAAATAAATGAGAGAGAGAAAAATGAGTACAGTACTACCCCATAATGAGTGAATGTATGAAAAAACTGTTATATTGAAAACTGAAAGAGGGAAGATGCGGACCAGAGTTTGGCAATTTCTAAGGAAGGTTGAATAAGAACATTTGATGAGGCTTTGTAAACCTTCAATGAGGAAGGCAGGAAAAAAAACTGGTGTTGTGCTAAAACTGGCGTGAATATGGTTTTAAAAGTAATAGGAATTATAAAACAAAATAAATGAAAAAATATAGGAATTAAGAAAGCATAAAGATATGTTCAACATGATTTTAACTAGGGAAAAAGTAATGTAAAATGGACATGATGAGCTTAAGATGATATACAAAAGCAAATGACACTATGTAAAAGTTGGATTCCATCTGTGGTTTTCAGTCTGAAGTTGAAACTACGACTATACTGTTAGTAATACACATGCGAATTATGAAGAAATATTACTCTGAGTTTCCCCCCCTGCCTTTCTATGTGTGAGAATAAAAGTATTAATTGCAATGGACTCTGGGTGTAAAATTGAATTAGAAAAAAAAAAATCTCCTTAAGAGGAAACTTTTGCAATGACATCAAAAGGTCAGACAATATGGAAAATACACAGCACAAAAAGAAAAAAAAAATAGAAAAAGATTGTGCTACTAGGCCCAATTTTCTAGGATTCATAAAAGAGGCCAGCAAATACCCATTCTATATGACTAGGTGTTCTGGGACCTTATGGTGAAGTAGGTGTAAAGTAGGTGCAGCAGAGCAAGGAAATTTACTATGCTGAAATACCACGTGTGGATTGAAGGCAAAATTCAATTTAAAAATTAATGCCAAATACCTGTCAGCAGCTAAAACTGTAGGATGACAAAAGACAGGAATACGATTTAAGGACATCCACGTGGTGTGTTGTCAATCCTAAAACATTGGCATCATCAGACAGGATGGCCTTCCTGAAGAGGACAAAGCAGAGAAGGGAAAAAGTCATGATGAGACTGTAGGAAAACAATCTATGCCTTCAAAACATTGAGAGCCTAGGCTCATAGGCTTCACCTAGGCACCACCTATTTCTTCCTTCTCCTCCCAGGCCAGACAGATTTCTTGCCATTTGCCAGGAAAAATGGCTAGCCCTCTGTTACTAAATGGTGTCCCTCACGGGGTCAGTATCTCAACTCCCCCATCTCTCAGCACAGCCGATGGCATATCCCAAGGTGGTGTCACCCACACAAGTACAGCTGATGGTCTGACCTATTTCAACCCAACTCTGCCTATCTGCCAGCCATGTTTCCTCAGCTACTGGAAATGGGTCGGGGTCAGCAAGAAACAAAGGTCACAGAGTGACCCTCCTGGTGCTGTGCCTGACCTCAGATTTCTGTTGACATGGCTGTCATCGAGAAACACTCAGACGCCACCAGATCTCATCATCGGTCCCGGGATGGGCACCTCTCTCTGGAGCCATCGGGATTGGCTTACTCAGTGGCCAGCGTGAGGTACTCCGGAGACCACACAGAAGGAGCCTGCTGCCCTGTGCTGGGGCCTGGCTGCCTGCTCTACCACTATCACTCGGCTAATTCTCTTCTGGAGTCTGCTGAAGCCCCAGCGTTTTGGAGGAGATGCTCCATACCTATCGGCAGGTGCCTGCAGAAGCAGTGAGCTGTACCAATCTGACCACCATGGGTTCCACTTGTGGCCATGGCACCCCAGGAGATTTCCATCACAGCAAAACTTGGCCATCACTTGGATCACTTCCCTAGAGGGGAGAAGGCACAGAAAGAAATAGAAATATTGAGACTGGCTGGCAGGGTTGACCACGGTTCCCAATTTTTAGGAGTGGCTCTTTTCAGGTGCTGCATATGGGCTTTCTCTCTCAGGGAGTGGGCATGGTAGAGTTTTTTCAGCCAAGGCTGACTCAAATTCCCAGGCAGACCACCAGAAGTGCTGCCCTCGGTTCTCGGTCACGTGACCAAAGAGGCCTCAACACCTTGCCTCGCACCCCAGGTCCACAAGGGACAGGCACATGCTACGGGCCTCCATCCACAGCTGAGCTGGTCAGGCTGTGCACATCGGGAATGACCTCAGATTTCTGGATACCTGGCGTTCATGGAGTATCACTCAAACGCCACCAGATCTCATCATTGGTCGTGGACGGTGGCCCCCTGTCTCCCTGGCCAGCTGCTCTGCCTCAGTTATTGTGGGGTGCTGAGGGGAGGGCTCTGATTCTGGAAAGTTAGACTGTTCTATGTTATGACCCCTAAGGGCCTCCCATTAGCACAGGCCATAAATAATCACTAACTATCGCTCTAACATGTACTAGCGTGTACACATGTTGGGGGCAGTGCACATACCTTTCTTCCGGCTCCATGGCGGATCCAGATGTGACCTCTCAGCCAGCAGGGATCGGGGCTGTCTCGGGGAAGGGAGGACACGGGAATCTCCAGCTGGAACACAGGCACCATCAGCTGGAAGGCGATGCTGAAGGTACAGAGCAGAGAGGGGAGAGCAGATGTTCAGGAATTTAGGCCAACAATCGGTGCCCTTTGCCTATAGGGAGCCTAGGCTAGTATGCTTCACCTAGGCCATGCCTGTTCCTTCCTTCTCCCAGGACTAACTGATTTCTGGCCATTGGCCGGGAAAGAAGGCTGGACACCGCCTACACTATGGCGTCCCACACCAGGTCAGGAACTCATCTCTCCCATCTCTCATCATAGCCCTTGGCGTATTACACTGTGCTGTTGCCCACACAGGCACAGCTGATTGCCCCACAACTTGAGCCTCACTCTGCCCATATGCCAGCCATGTTTCCTCGGCTAATGGAGATTGATTTGGGTAAGTCAGGAGTAAAGGTCACAAAATGACCCTGCTCAGCTGGGAGCCCGTTTCCATAGGCTTTCAGCTAAGAATGGGCCAACTGAGTTGGTTCTGTGCCTGACCTCAGATTTCTGTTGACATGGCTGTCATCGAGAAACACTCAGACGCCACCAGATCTCATCATCGGTCCCGGGATGGGCACCTCTCTCTGGAGCCATCGGGATTGGCTCACTCAGTGGCCAGTGTGAGGTACTCGGGAGACCACACAGTAGGAGCCTGCTGCCCTGTGCTGGGGCCTGGCCTCCTGCTCTACCGCTATCACTCGGCTAATTCTCTTCTAGAGTCTGTATAAGCCCCAGCGTTTTTGAGGAGACTCTCCATACCTATAGGCAGGTGCCCGCAGGAGCAGCGACGCAGTAGCCCTCTGGCCCCCATGGGTTCCATTTGTGGCCATGGCATCCCAGGAGATTTCCATCACAGCAAAACTTGGCCATCACTTGGATCACTTCCCTAGAGGGGAGAAGGCACAGAAAGGAATAGAAATATTGAGACTGGCTGCCAACGTTTGACCACGGTTCCTGCTTTTTAGGAGTGGCTCTTTTCAGGTGCTGCTTATGGGCTTTCTCTCTCAGGGAGTGGGCATGGTAGAGTTTTTTCAGCCAAGGCTGACTCAAATTCCCAGGAAGACCACCAGAAGTGCTGCCCTCGGTTCTCGGTCACGTGACCAAAGAGGCCTCAACACCTTGCCTCGCACCCCGTGTCCACAAGGGACAGGCACATGATATGGGCCTCCATCCACAGCTGAGCTGGTCAGGCTGTGCAATCGGGAATGACCTCAGATTTCTGGATACCTGGCGTTCATGGAGTATCACTCAAACGCCACCAGATCTCATCATCGGTCGTGGACGGTGGCCCCCTGTCTCCCTGGCCAGCTGCTCTGCCTCAGTTATTGTGGGGTGCTGAGGGGAGGGCTCTGATTCTGGAAAGTTAGACTGTTCTATGTTATGACCCCTAAGGCCTCCCATTAGCACAGGCCATAAATAATCACTAACCATCGCTCTAACATGTACTAGCGTGTACACGTGTTGGGGGCAGTGCACATACCTTTCTTCCGGCTCCATGGCGGATCCAGATGTGACCTGTCAGTCAGCAGGGATCGGGGCTGTCTCGGGGAAGGGAGGACACGGGAATCTCCAGCTGGAACACAGGCACCATCAGCTGGAAGGCGATGCTGAAGGTACAGAGCAGAGAGGGGAGAGCAGATGTTCAGGAATTTAGGCCAACAATCGGTGCCCTTTGCCTATAGGGAGCCTAGGCTAGTATGCTTCACCTAGGCCATGCCTGTTCCTTCCTTCTCCCAGGACTAACTGATTTCTTGCCACTTGCAAGAAGGCACAGAAGGGAATAGAAATATTGAGATTGGCTGGCAAGGTTTGACCACGGTTCCCAATTTTTAGGAGTGGCTCTTTTCAGGTGCTGCTTATGGGCTTTCTCTCTCAGGGAGTGGGCATGGTAGAGTTTTTTCAGCCAAGGCTGATCAAATTCCTAGGCAGACCACCGGAAGTGCTGTCCTCCTTTCTCGGTCACATGACCAAAGAGCCCTCAAGGCCTCGCCTTGCACCCCGTGTCCACAAGGGACAGGCACATGCTATGGGCCTCCATCCACAGCTGAGCTGGTCAGGCTGTGCAATCGGGAATGACCTCAGATTTCTGGATACCTGGCGTTCATGGAGTATCACTCAAACACCACCAGATCTCATCATCGGTCGTGGACGGTGGCCCCCTGTCTCCCTGGCCAGCTGCTCTGCCTCAGTTATTATTGGGGTGCTGATTGGAGGACTCTGATCCTAGATTATGAGACTGTTCTGTGCAGTGAGAAATATGGGGCTGCAATTAGAATGAGCCATAAATAGTGACTAACTATCACATTAATGTTCTCAAAGCCTAATGCGAAAACATATCAGGGACAATGCGTTAACATATACACACACTCGTGTCCTTCACATACCTATATTCTGGTTCCCAAGGAAGATCCAGATATGGACTCTCAGCCAGTGGGGCTCTTGTTGGTCACAGCGACAGAAATATAGGGTGACTTTTGAGCCGGGCACAAGTGCAACATTAATCAGCTTGGCCTTCCTGCAGGGTACAGAGTAGAGCCGGGATAGAAAATGTTGAGATTCTGTAGTCCAGTAACCTGTGCCCTCTGCATACAGGCTCATAGGTGTCACCTTGGCTGCAACTGTTACTTCCTTCCCCTCCCAGGTTAGTGATTTCTTGTCATTTGCCAGAAAATGTGGCCGGCCCTTGCCTACTCTACAGTGTCCTGCATGGGTTCAACATGTCATCTTCCCCCGCCCTCAACAGGCCACTTGGTTTGTCTCTGATATGTCCTATTCTGTAAAAATAACTAAAAAAGGACTTAAATGGAAGCAATAGGATTCTTTTTATCAGAGACAAGTCAAGCTGTAATCTTTAGGAACTGCCTGGAAGTAGAGAAGGGAGATTGGAAAATTTGTGGCATCTAAGCTGTAATGATGAAGGTTAGATATATGACAGATAAGCCGGCACATGGTGAGGAGGGAGGCTTTGAAAGAGGAAGCTCAGAATGCAGGTGCAAAGCCCAAAGCGTTAAGGAAAAGTATAGTATTATGCCTCAATAAATAATAAACTCTCTGTCTCTTTAGGAACACCTTTCAAGATGTAGTCTTGTATGCAATGGGGTTAAAACAGTCCAACTGTAATCTTAGGATCCCACCAGGACAATGATTCTTTAACTATTGTCCAGTAGTTTTTGATATCTGCTCTTACAGAAAGTTGTAGAACCTTTAGTAGGTGGAGAAGCCTTTTGAAGAAAGGCGTAACTCACGACAGCCCAGTTCCTGATGCAGTGTCTGCTTCCTGACTGGAGTCGGCATGTGGCTAGGTGCCCCATTTACTGTGCCCTAATACCCTCTTGGATATGAGGTAAAATAAGCCCCATTTTTGGTTAAATCATTTATATTACGCATTTTGTCACAACACCAAAAAATAAATTAATTAATACACTCTCTGATACAAATTCTGTCATAGCTGTTCGAAGGTGAGAGTGTGGCCTTCAGTGTGCTCATAATCTACAACAGTTAAGTTTCAAAGCATTCAGTCATGCAAAGAACAACCTTCAAGGCCATCAGAACCATGAAAAATTCAGGCACTGTTTATGCTTATTCAAAGATCAAGAGCTACAAAAGCCAGAGATAGGTCTGATGAACTGGTTGGTAGCTGTGGAATATGCAGAAAGCCTGCCCCCACCCCCCACACCCAGAGTGGCAATTCTGGGATACAGAGAAGACAGAAAGGCATAGAAAATGACTGCTCTGTCCACAGGTTCTTGATTATGAATTTACCTTTTGTTTTGGACCCCAGAGTCTCAGCCACGTCATTCATTATCTGAGACTCACACACCGGCAGTTATGATCACTGATCCAGGGAGTCCAGTCTCTCTTCATTTTTATCTACAATGTTTGGTTACTAATCCATTAATCCAGTAGTGATGCCTCTTGAAGCCAATGACATGTATAAACACAGCAAGAATTTGCTGTTTGGGATACAATACCCACAGCTTTTCATTAACTGAGCTTAGCTTTCCACTCTATCAGTTGGTTAAAATATTCCTCCTAGACCTGAGATGAGTACACTAGGCCTTCTATCAGTGCATTATTTTTTAAAACAGAGACTAAATGGTCCAAGAAAACAAAAGTAAGATCCTTTCCTATTACTCACACTGAATTTCAGTTTCTAGTGAGTGATGCACCACTGAACACCAACTTTGGAGAATTCTAGCCCAGGCTCCCATGAGACCATTGGGAAGAGTACAGAACAGAGTAGATAAACATAGAAAAGAAAAAAGAAAATAAAAGCTGGGACATTCTTGCCACAGACCTTTGGTTTTTAGCTTTGCTTTCTGGATTAACTTATTCACTCTCTAATTTAACAGTGCCTGTTTTTACCGAAACAAAAGATATGGAAACAATTTAAACTAGAAATCAATTTGAAAGAGCCCCATAGCCAAATGATAAATAAGGCTCCAACATCTGCTCTATAATAGCTAAGGATGACAGTGTGGGAGTTACAGCCATCACCCAGTGTGCATACTGTAGCAAAGTACCCCTGATGTGCTCCTCAAGGCCTGCATCTGTTTGTATTTGATTAATACTTCAGTTATTAGATGAATTATAGTTCCCTGCTTAATTCTAATGACAGAATCAACATATATCAACAAAGTTGTCAGTCTCCAGTCTCTGCATATTCCTAAATATGTCAACAGCAGTGGTTCTCAACTTCCCGAACTCTGTGACACTTTAATAGAGTTCCTCGTATTGTGGTGATCCCTAAACATAAAAGTATTTTTGTTGCAACTTCATAACTATAATTTTCCACTGCCATGAGTCAGAATATAAACATATGACATTTAGGACAGACGATATGTGATCACTCTGAAAAGGGTTCATGACCCACAGGCTGAAAACTACAGGTCGAGAGGACATCTTATACCAGAAAATGAACTATCCTACATTTTGTTGGTTATTAAGAGTTCAGATATGTTTCATGAAGTGTTTGGTGCTCATTCTCAACTCCTGCTATCATCATTGGTTCACATTATAACCGCTTATTTTTTTTTTATTTAAACTTACTTCATTCTATGTTACTAATTAATATAAGTCAATAACATGGCCCAACACAAATATTTTACAACATGATGGTTGACAGGTTAACGTCTGTCTGTAGAATCCTATTCCACTTGAGACTTTATCTTCTGTTAATTGGCCTCAGTGTGTCAGCAATCAATCAGGAAATACAACAACTGACATTAATCTCTCATTAGAATATAGTTATCTTTTATTGGGGTGAGCAGTGTACCATGGACATTTCCTTACCCATCCATCAGCTGAAAGCTACTTAGGTCTGTGCCAGCACTCATACACAGCGCTGCAATGAACATGGGAATGCATACATCTCTTTGACACCAACGCCTCATTTTTTTTTTTTTTTTGAATGCAGACCCACTAGAAGGGTGGCTGGTTTATCAGAAAAATCTACTTGTTTAGATTTTTTTGCCCCTTGAGGAACCTCCATGCTGTTTTCCATAATGTTGTATTAATTGATATTCCCATCTACAATGTACAAATCAAACTACCTACCCCTTCACTAGTTATTCCTACCATTAGATTTTCTTGATAAAAGTCTTTCTTACTAGAGTGTAGTGTTATTGTGCTGTGGGTTTTGCTTTGCATTCGCTGGTGATCTGAGCATTCTTTCATAGACTTCTTGGCTTTTGTATGCCTCTTTTTTGAAACATACACACTTCTCTTATTTATTGGATTCAATTTGGCTATTGAAATTTGGGCTCCTTATTTACTCTAGGTCAGTGGTTTTCAACCTGTGGGTTTAGACTCCTTTGGGGGGTCACATGACTCCTTCACATGGGTCACCTAACCCCATCAGAAAACACGGATTCATAACAGTGCCAAAACTATAGTTGTGAGGTAGCAATGGAAATAATTTTATGGTTGGAGCTCACCACAAAAAACAATCTTAAAGGACGCAGCATTAGGGAGGCTGAGGACCACTGCTGAAGACATAAGCACCTTGTTAGGTACTTTCAGCCATAAAGGAAAATGGCACGTCATAATTTTTAGTGATATAATGGAGCTGATCATGCTGAAGGAAATAAGCCAAGCACAGAGAGACAAACACAATATGGGCCTACTCATGTGGGACACAGAAGCATTCATTTACTGAGAGTGGAGAGTGGAGTGATGGATACCAGATGGTTTAGTGGGAAGAGACAAAAGGAGAAAAGTTCCTAAGTTACAGCTCAATGACCCTCAGAAGCCTTGGGATGTTCTGTGTTGTGGAGCAACTCTGTATGATAATTCCTTAATATCTTAATGGGGTAGAAGAGAGAATAGTGAATTTTCAGGATAATGAGAAATTATGAGGGAATCAATTAGCTTAACCTGACTGAAAAATTACAAAGTAAGCATGTAATAAGACAACTCAAGGCATCACTTTGTTCAAAATCATTTGTTTGGTATCAGGCAAAATGACAGGGGGAAAGACAGGACCTTCAAGTCATTTCACTTTTCTTCTGCTCCCCAATGTACTATTAAACCTCTTCTGCTCCCCAATCTACTGTTAAACCCTCAGTACAAGATTACCTCAGTCTCTGTTTCTTCTGAAAAATAATTAACGTAAAGCTATGAAAATCATTAATCAAATAAGCAAGGAAAGTAAGAATGTTGGGTGTTACTCACAGTGACAACACACAGCATGGAAGGGAGTGTCGATCAGGAGACTTTGGCCCAGCTCAGTGGCTCGGCCTGAGGGGTGCAAAGCAGAGATGGGCAGGAAGCTGGACACTGTATCTCTATTGCCTAATATTCTCTATGATGCTTCAACACTCCTCCAAACGTTCATTGCAATTATTTGTATTTTCTTCTTAATTAACTTCAAATTTATAATTGATACAGTGTAATGACTGACAATGACTCGTCTGCATCCTGTTTAGTACAGAGCTGTATTTCACTTGATCAATTTCTGCTGTACCAGGCTTGCGACAAACGACTGACAGACACAGGAGAACTAGGAATTTTGAGTCCAACCTGGTCCATTTAGGGAGAACTCATTAGGAAAAATAAATAAGAAAATATCTAATACCTATCTCCTAGTTGCTTATTTCAAAAATGTAAAAATTTTTATTTTCGTGATCTTAACCTGCCTTGATTCTTTTATAACAATACTTTAAGCTAATGAATACAAAATTATTAAATGATATCCATGGACACAGACACATGAACATAGTAAGGACCTGGCCATTTGTTTTGGATCTCAGAGTTCCACAAATACAGTGTTCAACATGTGAGAGTCAGGTGACACATGCCACAGTCATCAGGTGGCATCAGACCATGGCTAGGTGGGTCCCCATTGTCTAATACCTTCCAGCTTTGTGCACGGTTTCATTCACAGAGAAAAATCTGTAAACTAACGACAGCATAATCTGCATTAAGGGCCCTAATATTTGTCTACAGAGTAAACCTGTCAACGGCACCACCTTTTGGTTCCTGTCCTTATTTCTTCATGTATGAAATAAAACAGTTGTCCGTGGAGGGCCCAATACCCACTGACTAGTTTCTATATTGATGGTTAACTAATCTATTATGTCACTAATAATATTTTTAAAAACCTATGACTGGAAAACCTATCAAGAACATAGTTGTTGTAATCCAGAATGATGCCTGGGTCACTCTGTATTTTCAGTTAACTACCCTTAGCTCTTCATGGGTACCACTAATCAGTAAAACTATTCATTTTAGTCTAAAGTATAAAATGATGTCAGCTGCCTTACATGACGACAACCTAAAATTTTAAAAAATATAGTAGATTCTCCCTAACTAAACCCCCCAAACCAAGGTAGGAATTAGAAATATTACTTACATTATTCTCCATGCTCCCAACAGAGACAGATCGTAGAGAACTATGCACTCACACAGGTCCATGGAGAAGAGCAGAAAAAAGAACACATGATTAAAAAAAAACTTGTAAGAGAATAAAAATTGAGACATTCTCCCCATTAACCCTTAACTAAATCTTTGGTTTAGAGTAGTAGTACGACCTTTCATAAAGGTGTGACCCTTTAATTCCATTCCCAATGTTGTAGTGACTCCCAACTATGTTAAACTTTAGTTTTGCCGCTGTTATGAATTGTAATATAAATGTCTGATACACAGGCTATCTGATATGCAACCCGCATGGTGAAATGTTCATTTGAGGCCCCACCAAAGGGGTTGCGACACATACATTGAGAACAGCTGATTTGGAGTATTATATATATACTTATTAACTTAGCACTGTGAAATTTAATTTTTTTCTCTTAAGAAAAGAGAAATTTAAATTTTTTATACACTGAGAACACTGGCTTTACTATATAAAAGTCTGCACCTTCTTTAGCCCAAAAAGGCTAAAGTAACAGCGTCAGATGGCTATACCTGGACTTCACTGTTTTCCTAACATATTGTAATGTTCTTGGCCATAGTTTTTTGTTTTGTTGTGGTTTTTCAAGACAGGGTTTTTCTGTGTAGCCTTGGTTATCTATCACTCCATAGACCAGGCTAGTCTCAAACTCAAAGTGATCTGCCTGCCTCTGCCTCCTTGAGTGTGGGATAAAAGCTATGTGCCAGCCCGCCTGGCTGGTCGTGTATTTGTTTTAGTTAAACAATATTTCATTAATTGAGAGATTGATGTTCTCATTCATCTAATTTTGACAAAGGCCAGGACCAAGATCCTTGGATATTGTCAAATATTTTCTGAGGACACTCTCCAATGAGGTGATGAACTGCATTTCTTTTGCATTTGAATCCAGAGTCCAGGCATATTTTATTCACCCCGACAGCAAACACCCTCACTGATTCATGTTTGCCTTTTTAAT